CATCTATATTACACACTAAAATGTTGTATCAAAACAAAAAAATGTGGGTCTTTATTTATAAATGTTTGAATTTGTTTTTGTGTTTGGAAAGGTGTATTTCACTCAACTTAATGTGCTTTTTGTGTTTATTATTGTGGTCTTTACAATTTTTCTCAATGCGTTCTTAGTTCTATTTTTATAATATTTTTCAATAGAATAATGAATGTAGTTTTTACTATATTTATTACGTCATTTAAAATGTGAATGTAATTACGTAATTTTTTATGTAATTACGTATTTTTTATGTAACTAAACTACCATGTATAAGTTATATATGTACCATGCTAAAATATACGTATTTTTATGTAACTAAACTACCATGTATAAGTTATATATGTACCATGCTAAAATATACGTATTTTTTATGTAACTAAACTACCATGTATAAGTTATATATGTACCATGCTAAAATATACGTATTTTTTATGTAACTAAACTACCATGTATAAGTTATATATGTACCATGCTAAAGTATACTCCCGTCTTCCTCTTATATTCGATGTTATTTTTAGTATATCGATAAAACTATGATTGGAAACGCTTGAAAATAATTTTATTGATAATCCTTACGTTTTTTTTCTTTAACATTTAGAGAAACTATGGACAGCACCAGAGATATTGAGAATGCCTGATCCAACACCAGAGGGCACACAGAAAGGCGACGTTTATTCATTTGCTATTATTGCAAGCGAAGTGGTTGTAAGACAAGGTCCTTTCTACCTAAACGAAGTTGATCTGAGCCCAAAAGGTTAACCGATTCTATTTTCACAAACCACTGACGTTAAATAGAAGACATGCCGATATTTAAGGTCGAAGCGGATGAAAATTGATGATCTGATCTTATATATATATAATTGTGCTCAGAGAAAGAGAAAAAATATGCATATATAAAAATTATGTTAAATTTATTGTAGTTCTTTTAAAGAAACTTTTCTCCACTTATTGTTTATGATGAAAATAAACAACGATATTTTTTAGAAGTATGGAGGGGCCCCGGCATGACCAGGTGGTTAGGGCGCTCGACTCGCAATCTGAGGGTCGCGGGTTCAAATCCCCGTCACACCAAACATGCTCGCCCCTTTCAGCCGTGGGAGCGTTATAATGTGACGGTCAATCCCACTTTTCGTTGGTAAAAGAGTAACCCCAAGAGTTGGCGGTGGGTGGTTCTGACTAGCTGCCTTCCTTCTAGTCTTATACTGCTAAATTAGAGACGGCTAACGCAGATAGCCCTCGTGTAGCTTTGCGCGAAATTACAAACAAACCTTAAGTTGACTTTTATGTTTTCAGCGTATTTTACATTTCTACTCTTTACATACTAGAAAAGTAAGCTTTATTCTTTTATTAGTTGTTTTATTCTAATCTTATGCAACACATTAAATATATTTTTTTCTTCAAAGCACGGTCCTATGATGGAATCACTTGTAAAGCAGTTCATTAAAGATTCATTTAATTACGTTAATGTTTGAATGTTTTAATGAGTGAAATATTTTGTAATTCTCAGAGATTATTGAACGAGTGAAGGAAAACAGGAAACCGCCGTTTCGTCCGTTTCTTGATGAAAACCTTTATGATGATGAAGTTATACAAATGATCAAAAAATGTTGGGCGGAAGATCCAATGGAAAGACCAGATTTTCATCTTCTCAAGTCTATAGTTCGCCGACTAAGCAGGTAAGGTCTTTTTCTACACTATCAGAGACGGTTGTTAAATAAGGTAAGGTCTTTTTCTACACTATAAGAGACTGTTGTTAAATAAGGTAAGGTCTTTTTCTACACTATCAGAGACTGTTGTTAAATAAGGTAAGGTCTTTTTCTACACTATCAGAGACTGTTGTTAAATAAGGTAGGGTATTTTTCTACACTATCAGAGACTGTTGTTAAATAAGGTAGGGTATTTTTCTACACTATCAGAGACTGTTGTTAAATAAGGTAAGGTCTTTTTCTACACTATCAGAGACTGTTGTTAAATAAGGTAGGGTATTTTTCCACACTATCAGAGACTGTTGTTAAATAATTCCACTGATAGTAAGAAATCTAAACTAATGCTTAAATTCACAGTAACTGAATGTAACGAATTTGTTGTTATGTATTTACTTTTAATATGAACGTTATTTAGATTAAGTTTGTATTTACAAATATGCGTAACTTATAGTGTTGGATATGTATTGCGTATAACGAATTTGTTATATATTTATTTTAATGACAACGTTTGTTTGGAATGAGTTTATGTTTAAAAACGTGCCTAACTTACAATGTTAGTTACGTATGGCGGAACTCCCACCAATTCTCCAAGATTGTAGAATATTCGCGAACGCAAGAATCGACAATATATCCACTTCCGTAACCGGTTAAATATTACTAGTATTGTTGTCTGAACTTTCGAGAAAGACATTTCCCGCCCATATAAAAAGACCAAGGCCAAAGGAGAGAGCTTATATGTCTGCTAGGAACCTGTTAAAACCGTGTACGCTATAAAGCGCGATTTTGCTAACCCTTATCAACCGGAAAATAGACGACATTTGATCAGGAACAGTTATAAATTTCAACGTCAATGGATTCTCATCGGACGTTAGTATCTTTCCGAAAGTATTATTGAGTTCTTATCGGACATTAGTGGTTTTATGAAAATATTATCTTACTTCGACGGTCCAACAATTCAGTGTCTGACAAAGCTAGCTAGTTTCTCGGCAATTGTACGCCGGATATCAAGGAGACTCTGAACTAGAAGGAAGACTTTGTGTTGTTTGTTTGTTTGAAGTTATGCACAAAGCTACACAATGGGCT